ATCTACACTGATGTTACCTTGAAGACGGGGACAGGGACACTGTCACGTGAGTACTGCCCGGAGAAACCCTGCATTTCCCACAGCAGACGAGTGCCATTGGCCTCCACACTGACCCATGGACATGGTCTTACTCTTGTTCCCAGAATTAGTGACACAGCAGGAGGGCCACAGGGGACATTCCACATTAGGGCCCTGTCAGCTGTGCCATATAAGGAGGGACACTGGAGCCTTTCACTCTGTCCTCACCTTCTGACCACAGGTAGGTCTCATGGTCCCATTACACCATAATTTCTCTAGGAAGAGGAATTTTTTAATACCCCCATGACCAGAAAATATTCTCAATAACCACTTAAGGCGTGTGCTCGGCATCATCAGTAGGAATACGGACTGTGGTTGGCACTAGCATCATCGAGAAGGCAAGGAGAATAATTTCCTAGGGGACACCAAAGTGGCAGGCCACACGAGGCTCCCACAACCCCTGGGAGGTCTGCATTTCCTCTTCCCTCACTGCCAGGCCTCTCCGTGGGCTGGCTAATGAAGAAGGAAATCACAGGCCCAAGTTACGGTGACTCTGGAAAAAACTTTAAATATTGCCTTGCCTAATGACCTCGTTCTAAAGATGAGACCAGTTCAGGGTAGGGCAAGTGACATGCTCAAAGTCACAGGGCTGACTGGGCACGCAAGAGAACCCAGGCTCAGCCTGCCAACGCCATGCTGTCTTCAACTCTACAGGGAGAAAACTGTCCTGACCATGCGGCCCACGACATCTACATGCTGGATAACTAAGAAACAAGAATGAATGACACAGCCTTTCACCTCCTACATCCCAGTTTCATTTCAGCTGCTGCGGTTCACACTTCCGCTTTCATGTGAGCAACAAGGACCTTCTGAAAAGGCCGGGGGAAGAGGCCACCATCCATTGGACAGTGTGGCCCAGGGACGGAGACGGCATCTCTCACTGCCCCAGCATGTACCTTCCGGGAAAAGCTGCATGTGGAGTTTCCAGATCAGCACTTATCGGTCAGCTCAGCCTGAGGACAGGTGCCCACGATGGTACTTCCGGGGAAGAACATTTAAAAAGTCAAGCTGTGTTGGTGGTCCAAAGAAGACTGTAGAAGGGTGGACCGCTCCCAACCTGCACCTGCTCTCCGCCTGCACCACTGGCAAGCTTAGGAGCATGGTGGGTGTCTACTTAATGTAGTCTACCTGCTCCAGCTCCAATCTCCTCACTGTTTGATATAAAGGATTTTAATTGGTCACAAAGACCTACTCCATGAAGCCAGAATTAGTATGATTTTGTACAAATGATGGATTTTCGGGGTTGGAATATACCATGTGAATTAATCAAATCTCATTTTCCACATGAGTAATAAAAGCTTCAGAGAGAGAAGAACTCAAATACAGACAGAAGGCATGGCAGGGTCAAAGTCTCCCAACTCCGTCCCAGCACAAGGTTCTTCCCATGAACACTTGTGATGCTGTGGACAGGGGCCTGCCCTCCGCTTTGAGCCTGCAGGCCACCCCAGTGACCATCAGACTTGTACTGCCTCCAAGCACAATAGCCATGGACACACTGCAAAATACAGACGTTGTCCACCAGTGGCTAATGAACCCCAGCTGGGTAGAACATGGCTGCAGAGAAAACGAGGCAAGAGCACAGTTAAATACTCGGAAACCCGGACTTGAAGAAAGAGTCCGCGGGACTGGCGGGGGAGTGGAGGAATGCAGGGAAGAGAACATATGCCATTAAGAAAGCAGGTGAGAGGCCAGAAGTGGCATGGTGGTTAAGACACTGGACTCCCACATGGCTGACCACAGTTCAAGCCCCAGACCTGGTGACTTGACATTCAGGCCAGGCATGTGTGCGTGCATGGCCAAAATCCCAGAAGGAGAATGGAGGAGAGGGACTGCAGAGTGGCCACGGGGCGGGGGGTGATTTCACTTTCCCTCTGTCTCTGGCAAATATGCCCTATGGCACAAACTTTAAACAATGCAGCAGTAAATGCCCAGTTCAGCAAGGCTGACCACATAGGAAGATTCTGGGTTGGTATCCGGAGACCTCCCTGAGCACTCTGGACACACGTGTGCACACGACCTACAGCTGGCTGAGGCTGGGAATGACCATGGTGTCAACAGCCTGTTGAAGGTAAGGTGCCGTCTCTGTCCCTATCTCCCTCTGTCTTGCCAGAAAACTAAACTTAAAAAAAAAGGGGGGTGGGCAGATGAAAAGGGCAGGTAAGCACAGGAGGCATAGCTGCTGGTCACATAATACAAGATTTTGAGGGGGGAATAAATCCCTAAATCCTATTACTTCCTTCACAAGGGCGCTTTCTCAAAAAGAGGGCATATCCGATTCAGTTTTTAACCAAGTTAGTGTACAGTTACATCAGCCGGTCTCCAGATATGTTTTCATAAAACTGAGTGCAACACAAGATAAATATTACTTTGACACTAGCCAGCTATGGGTGGATGTTGATACTTAACACATCTGGGTAGGGCAGCCCCACCCTTGGCCAGCCGCCTCGCTTCTGCAGACACATCTCCCAGCCCACTACCACAGCCAGCCCAGGGCGTGTGGCCTCGAGACCTCCCAAGGAGACCTGAAGCCACAGGAAGGGATTCTGCTGACTCAGGAGATGGCAGGCCCATTTTGTGGCCGACAGGCCAGGCCAAGCATAGGACTGAGAAGCGGTGCGCGGCAGAGCGGAAGCTCCAGACACTTAACCACTGAGGTGGGGCTCAAGTGTGAGTGTAACCTGCCCTCTCTCAAGTCAGGGTACTTCTGGAAAGTCTTTGTGTGCGTCTGGTGGTGGGTGCCAGTAAAATATTTTGTTACTAAAAGCTCTTTACTGGGACCAGCAGGTGGCATGGTGGTTAAGGCGCTGGACATTCCACATGGCTGACCACGGTTCGAGTCCTCGACCTGGTGGCTTTTCCCTCTTTCTCTCGCTCTCTGGGTATCTCTCTGGTCAAATTAAAATAAAATGGATGAATGAATAAAAGTAAATAAATAATTCTTTAAGAAAAATAAAAAAGCTCTTTACTTCTCCCAAGAAAATAAGTGACTGTCAAAGGACTGGGTTATAAAATCTATATTGTTTACCAACAGAGGAGCCCCCAGAATAACCAGTAAACACCCTGTGCTGGGGCAGAAAGCATAAAGGCAGGACCCCTTTGGAGAAGAGTTACTACGGCGGCCTGGGCAGTGTATTGTTACAGACAAACCTGACGGGCCAGTCTTGGCCTGGTGTTAAGGTGGCAAGATCCCACGTGCCTGACTGTGCATTCAAGTCTTGGACTTGGTGGCTTGACAAACATGCCAGGTGCGTGTGCATGAGTGGCCACAAATCCCCACAGGAGAGAGAAATAGAGAGGAAGAGATTGTGGCATGACCATCCCCCATCAGAGTTGCTTTCTCATTTTTCCAGCCCCTCCCCCCCAGCAAGCATGCATGCTGGCAAAAAAAAAATAATTGAAAATGAATATAAATTTCTTTGGCTTTGACTGCGTTTCACTACTGACACGTTTCGGCACTCTCACTTTTAATCGTAGAAGATGCTCAGCTGGGCAATGTCCACAGTGCAGTTGATCAATGATGAAGTCAGTCAGAGGAGGATGGCCACACTAGCTTGCCACGGTCAGGATGCCAAAAAACGCAAGGTCAACTCACCCCGCATCAACTCACTCCCCAGGCTGACTTCAACACCCTCTATCTGCTGGTCATTTCCTCACTCCAGTCCTGACTCAGCGCGCACAGCGGGCACTTAGGTAAGTGCCGATGTACTTGTCACAAATGTATGCAAAGTAAATCTCCTTGGATTTAGTAAGTGTCAAATCTTTTTTCTAAATAATATTTTAATTCCATTTGTTATTATTTTTTAATTTGACTAGAGAGAAAAAGAAAGGGAAAGCAAGAAAGCGAGCCACCATGTCAAAGACTCAAACCATGGTCAGCCACATGGGAGTCCAGTGTCCCAACCACATCACCTGCCAACCCTCAAGTGACACAACCCTGAAGTGACAAATCTTGAATAGAACTCTCACACAACTAAAAGGGTCTAGGACAGGGAGAGTCCTGTAACAGGTGGTGGGCAGTTCAGTGACACCCTGGCTCCTGGGGTTTGTAAGGTGAACTGCTTCCACCAGAGGATGCCTTCCCTGGTCTATGACACTCGGCCCAATGGAAGAGTCCTCAGAGGGACTCACTAGATATGTAACTTACTGCTGTTAAGGTCGTTCATGAGCCTATTGGTGAGCAAGCTACAGAGGTGGCTTTTAGCTGTCTTTTTATCTTTTATTAGCAAAATTCTGAATAAATGCAAATGTTTCCCTAGTATTCCATCATCTAGAGATGCAGCCTTTGGGCTGGGAAAGCCAGACCGAAATGCCCACACCAGATAGCTGTGCTCCTCTAGCTCCACAGGACTGAGATGAAGGGCTTGAGAAGAAAATCGGGATGGAGGAATAATACGGAGAAACAGATCCCAGCAGTGCTCTCAGCTCCCCCATGGCCTAGCGAAGGCTCCTCCCCTGCCTGGAAGGGGATCACTCAGAGCTGATTCAGCCTGCATCTCCATCTCAGCCATCAGTTGCCATAACCTCCTCCCCTCCTCCCCTCCGGTACTCACAACTCTGATGACGATGGGCCTGAGGCTCGTAAGTCTGATCAGAGATGGTCAGCTCTGGGTGACCACGACACAAAGCAAAGCCAAGATCAGAGCATTACGAGCAAGACACCTTGACTCCCACCCACGACACCATGTCACCCTTACAAGGTTTTCATCACGTGTAGGCCGCAGAGGTCAACAGGGCACCTCGGGCAGATGTGCAGCCTCAAGACTCACATGGTACAACTTTTTGAAGACCCATGGCCTATGTTATTTGAAAGGGGAAGCGGAAATTGCCCAAGATGACGGCTATAGCAAGACAAAGGAGAGGTAAAAAGGGAAAAGAAAAAGAAAAAAGTAGAGCGACTGTGTCCTCCCCACACACGAAGAGGTTTTACCCCAACATCTTCACTTTGCAGATGTGGAAACAGGAATCCAGAGAGGAAGAACCCTCCCAGCAGCACCGGGCCAACCTAGGCTCTCAGGCCTCCATGAGGCCACGGCTGAACTGACAGAAGGGAGTGCTCTCGGAGGACCTTCTGGGCACTGGCTACACTGCCTGCTCTCCTGTTAGAATGGGGTACTAGGCATACTGGAGCATTCAGGGAGGGACGATGTCCAAGGACATCCCCGCACCAGACAGCTGTCCCCCTGCTCCTCCAACACAGGAAGGGCTGGGTCTACCTAAGCCACTGTCCAGGGACAGATGAACAAAATAACCCAGAGCACACCACGGTGTCAGCCACTTCTCCAGATGTCACTTTATTTCACCTTCGGCCAGTCCATTCTGCAAGTAAAGACACTGAGGACCGAGAAGTCTGCCCGGGGTCACAGCAGGTGACCAGCAGGGCTGGAGGCTGAGCCTGCACCTCCCAACCCCACGATCAGTGTGCCTTCTCTGCTACCTCCACCCAGTGCTGTTCATGACAAAAAGCCAAACACAACAGCAGACCAAAGGGCTGACAGAACCCCACCCTCAGCCAGCTAAACAATGACTAAACTCCTCGCTGGAACCCAGCACAGGGTCTGCCTGCCCAGAAGGTCGGGACTGGGGATTTTCAGAGTGGGTTCGGCCCTAGCCTCTATGAGAGGGCCACTGGCAGTCCTGCAGGGAGGAACTCTGGGCTGATCACATGAAGCGCAGCAGCGTGGCCAGAGCTGGACGGTCAAGTGCAGTCACTCCTGGTGACAGAGCCCAGCTGTGCGGGAAGCTCCCCACATTCCACACTGCTGAGGGGCTGGAGGAGGGACCGAGCTGTGCAGAGAGCCGGCAAACCCCACAGAACTTTCCGTACCATGTTCCCACTTTTGCTGGAGAAAGGCAGTTACAAACTGGGTTACAGGGAGCTGCACAGACCACACCTCCCAAGGACACAGGAGAATCCGCCAGCAGAGGCTCCTCCAGGGAGTGGAACCACAGAAAGTTTCATTTGAAACTCTCATTGGCACCACAGTCCTTTCAAAATGTCTTTGAAAACTGAATGAAATTTGAAAGCTGTAGGATTATAGCCTACACTGGAACATTATTACGAAGGCAAAATGAGAAACTGACATCAGATGATATAAGGTAATAATGCAGAAAAATTATCTTAATTAAACCAAGGCTTCGGAAGCACTAAACATGACATCTTTATAAAGCATAATAGGGAAAATGAAAAGATTTACCTACAAATTATTGATACATGGAATCTCTTCTGGACTGTAACAGAAGAAATGGAGCAATGTTGGGGAGAGCAAAAACTGTTTGCTATCAGGCTGTGTGAGGCATTTTCATATATTGTATCTCATTTAATCTCGGTAACAATGAAAATATTATTATTCACAAATGATAGGCCAGGAAATAGAGGCTAGGCGGCTCTCACACCGCTGCACAGCCACTGCCTTCCAAAGCGTAAAGGAAAGGGCAAAGCTGACAGCAGATGAGTCCCATAAAGTGGCCACCACTGCGCAGCAAAGGGCAACCTGAGCCCACTGGAAACACACAGAAGCAACGTCCAGCTTCTAGCAGGACTCTGCTTCTTATTTCTCACATGGTCACCTGCTGCCCTCTGAGCTACATCTTCATGCAATGCTGTCCTCCACATTCGAAGATAATGACACTGCCATGGCGCCAAGACGATGCAAGCTCAGGGACATTTACACACCGTTGGTGGATTTGCACTCACCTCCCCCTCCTCTCCCAGCCATCCTTGCCATGAAGACTGTGTGTGAACACTGGCCAAACAGAAGGAAAAACAATGCCAGAAGAGGCCCTGACAAGCATACCAATCCTCTACTCCACACTCACGCCCTCCCTTCTTCACAAGCTGCGTCCTCTCGTGTGCCTGATGTGAGGAAGTGCTATTTACAATAGTGGCCAATGTTCATGAACAGTTGTGGAACTTTTCGTAGTGCAAAGAAACTACAGTAAATACTCACACACACACACCTTAGTTAATCCGCACAATTACCACTCTTTCATGTTAGATACAGAACTATCTCTATTTCACGCATGAAGAAACTGAGCTTCGGAGGGGATAAGTAAATTTCTAGAGGTCAAACTACAAGTAGGTGATTTGGCACAGCAGTAATTCAACACTGAAGTGCTAGACGCACATGGCGATGTCCTAAGTTCACATCCTGAGGGTCCTTTATACATGCCAGGTACATGCACATACGTGTTACCTTAGCTGGCTGAGGCCAGGTAGATTACAGTGTAAGAACTGTGTGTATGTGTGGGGGGGAGGGGCTCTCTCTCTAGCTCTTTTTTAAGAAATAAACTTAAAGAGACCAGCAGTTAGCATAATGGCTATGTCGCTGAACTCCCATGTAGTTGACCTCGGTTCGAGTCCTGGACCCAGTGGCTTAAATTCATGCCAGGCATGTGTGCATACATGCCCAAGATCCTGAGAGGAGAATGGAGGAGAAGGGATTACGGCGTGGCCATCCTGCCTGGGGGATGATTTCTTGCTTTCTGTCTCTCTGTGTCTCTCTGTCTTTCTGGTGAATGCATGCACCCTATAGCAAAAACCTCTCCAAAAAAAAAA